CAGTGAACAAACTGTTTCAAGTGCCTTTGGTTGCTTCCTTCTAAAGCAATTGAAATCATGGTCTTATATAACTGGTATAATTACAAATTGGTTTCATCTAGTTGTCAATGTTGTTTTCTAAAGGCTCTTCAGTTTGAACAATCAGGATGTTTATCTTGAGTGTAGAAAGACATCCCTGTTGAAAATCGCTACCTTGACTTGTAGTACTTTGTACTTGACTTGTAGTACTTCTAGTACTCCCTCAATGGGAGGCCTTCAGGCCAAGTATCTGCCATTTAGTCTTGCTGGAGTGCTCCTTGTATCCCCTGGCATTGCAACTTTTTCTACGTTGCTGTGACTGAACCAAGAAAGAAGGCATACACAGATTTCCACAGAAACTATGATTCCATGAAAGACTTTGAGGAGATGAGGAAGACTGGTATCTTTCAGAGTACAAAGTGATCTTGAAACATAAAGTATTTGTTTGGAATGATTTCCATGGGTTTGGAATGATTTCCATGGCTGTTGTCACTGGGCTAAGGAATAATTTCTATTGATAAACAATTAAATACTGAGGGGGAAAAATGTTTACCCTGAGTTGAGTACTAGGTATTAGTCAAGGACTCTACTCTCCTTCCTTTGTTTTTCCTGCTACCAGCATTTGGTCTCCTCAATCAGCAGTGACAAGGCTTGTGGACTGGACTGTACAGCTGATGTCTCAGCTCCACCCTGTGGTGCAAATTGGAATTAAGTTTGCTTCATTTTCAGAGGCAGGCTCTGCTGATTTAAAAAACAAAAAAAAAAAAAAAAAAGAGCAGAAATAATATGCTGAGGGTAGATCAGAATAAAAAAAAAAAGAATTTCTAGATAATTCCCTATATATACTTTATTCCAAACAAAGATGAAATTAAAGCTTATTTAAAGGAAGTTTTAATATTTTCTTCTCACTCCCAGGCCCTGTACACACATGGCCTGTTTTGTGGAACACTGACTTTAGAGAAATCCTCACACATATGCCCATAAAGCTGAATGTAACAATATATTGAGACACTTATTTAGTAATGAAAAAATTGGAAGCAACCTAAATGCCCACTTACAGATAAATGAGTAAACATTTTAACATTCATTTAATGAAACATATGTATTCAAAGTAATACCTTAGAGAAGGTTAAAACAACTGAATTAGAACTATCCATACCGCAATGGGTAAATCTCAAAACAGTGTTGAGGAACAAAGGAAGTTGAAACATGATAATATACTGTATGAGACTATTCATGTTACTAGTGAAATACCAACATGTTAGAAACATGTTAAACAACCATATATATTATTTATGAATACATAAATACACATGCAAAGTATTAAGTACACACGCAGGACAATCAAAAACACCGAAATCAGGATAATGGTTACTCTGGAAAGGGAAGGAGAGAATTATGATTAAGGAGGAGATGACAGTCACAAGTAGAGATACTGCCGATATATCACCATAACAAACTGGGGGAGTTTTAGGGAGGTGAGTGGGAGGATCACTGGGAATGAACAAGAAAGACAAGGAGTATACCTAATTCATGACAAGACTCAGTGGGAGTAGGGGTACAAAGGAAGCAGGATCCTAGAGTAGAGAATTGTGGTTTAGAACAAGAGAGTTGAAGGGAGCATTCAGAAAAGAGGGCAAAGACATAGAGAATGACCAACCATGAGTTCCAGAGCCCTCTCAATAAATGAGTAAAAAATGAAAGGATCAACAAAAAGCAAGACTTAAAATGTATCTAACAACTGGGTAAGTCCTATGTAAATTGTAAAGAAAGGTAAGGCCCCCTTACTACCTCTTTAACTACATTGATTGAGGAAACCCCATTCTGCTTTCATGTTTTTTTTACAATAACTTGTAATTTCTAAATTGGTGATAGTCTTTTTTTTTTTTTTTTTGTGGGACCCTCGCTGGCACTGCAGAGGCTGCAGGCAGCCTCACAACCCAGCACTCAACTAGTGCGCCACCAGGGGAGGCGCTAAATTGGTGATATTCTTTTTCAGCCTTATTAATTTTTTTTGTTTTATGGTTGCCCTTATATTAACTGCACATCATTTCTAAATCAGTTTGGGGAGATGGGAGAGAAACTCTCCTTTTAGACAAAACATCATCATGCAACAATTATGTAATTGTATAATCTCCAATTATTCTGTCTGTCTTAAACACAGATATAATGATGACAGGAATTTAGACCTGGAAGACAATATGATGCAATCTCCTCACTTTACAACTGACCAGAGGTTATGTAGTTTCCCAAATTTAATTGGCTTGTTACTTGAAGAGTCAGGGCTAGCATCCATGCCTCCTCTCAAACTTCCTTGTTTTTCTTTGAACAGCACAAACCTGGAAAGCAGTTGATATAGGACACTATATGCTGGTGGTTGAATGTAGGCTCTGATATTAGAACATCCAAGTTCAAGCCTTAAATTTGTGACTTATTAACTGTGACCTTGGTCAAGTAATGTAACTACTCTGTGCCTCAGTTTACTTATCCACAAAATTGAAGGCATAATCATAGCTACTTCATAGATACTTGTAAGGAATAAGTGAACTAAAAGTACTGAAAGCACATAAAGTACTCTGCGCATAAAAAGTAACAAGAAATAAAAACTATTGTTCCTATTTAGCACTTGCTCTGCTAGCTGTTGATGTAACAGAGATTAACAGAAGCCAGCTGTTTTGTTTGTTTTTAGGTCTGGAATTTAAGAAACAAAACCAGATAATCAGTCAACCAACCCACAAAATAAAACCACACTAAAGATAATGTTTATAAATCAGAATATTTCACAAAGAGATCCAAATTTCCTTGAAAATTGGAAGGTCTGACATCTAGGCCAGAATTCTGATGTCGTAACAATTGACTAGAGCTAAAAGCAGTTGCACACCTTTCCTTTAGTCCATACCACTCAGAGTGCATTGCATATACTTATTCCTTTCCAGTTTCTTTTAAATGTCATCCGCTTGATGACTGCAGCATGCCTTCCCAGATTGAGAACCTCTGCCCTCAAGGATCTAAAAATCAATAGTTGAGTGACAGCCTCAACAATTAACAATACCTGTGACTGAAACAAGTGCAAAGTTGCAAAGCACACAGTGAAGCAGTAGCTTGAAGGAACATTAGAACTGAATGGTAGAAGTGTTGTGGGTGTTGTATGCTGTCAAAATAAGTGACATTGAAAAAGGAGTGGAAGGTGGTTGCAGCAGGATAAAAAGCGGCATTGAAATGGGAAACAGTTTAGCAACTGAGGAGTTCAGTTTTAGGGAATATAGTAAGATGGGGAAAAGTACGCTGACACTCTGTAATAAAAACTCCTTAATTTGGATTATACCCCAAAGGAGAGGGAACCCTTGAAGTGTTTTCTATCATTAATTTCTAGATCTAGGGGTCTCCCCGGTGGCGCAGCGTTTGAGCGCTGGGTTGCGAAGCTGCCCGTAGCCTCTGCAGCGCCGGTTCGATCCCCGGCTGTTCCCTGGCCACCAGAGGAGGGTCCCACATGGCGCGCAGACCTCTCCTGCCGCCCGCTGCTCCCCTCAGCAGTGTGCTTCGGTCCTTCTGCCTGCTCTGCTCCCCGCTCTGGCTCTGGTGAATTCTCTCACCCTCCCGCGCTTCTGACTGTACCCAGTGCTTGTATAAATAAAAACAAACAAACAAACAAATAAATCTTAAAAAAAAATTCTAGATCTAACTTAAATCAATTGTGCCTGGATAGCCTCATCATCGTCTAACAAACATCTTTGAGAAAGAACTGCTTTAAAATCCACAATAGTCTGCAAAAACACCTTTAAGTAGCAAATTGCCACTTCAAAAGGAAGCCCTCTCTGACTATATAAAGGATACAGTTTTTAGATTTGTCTGCAAATGAAGTTTTTTTTCATTTATAAAGGGGTATAATAACACCTAACTCAGGGCAATAGTGACTATAATCCATGTAAATCCAGGACTATAATCCTCTATAGGGTACCACGGGTACCCTATATAGATAAAATTGGTCAGTTAATGAGTTATGAATATTAAGAGTTTTCCTTATCTGTTATCCTGTCATTGAGAAAACATAAAATTTTAAAAAGATTTATTTTATTTATGTACACAAGAGCTGGGGTGTAGGCCAGAGGTGAGGGGGTATGGGTGGTGAGAGGATTCACCAGAGACAGAGTAGGGGGCAGAACAGGTGGATGCACTGAAATGCACTGCTAAATGGAAGCAGCGGGGGAGACAGGAGAGGTCTGCTGTGCCAAGTGGGTCAGCTCCCTGGCCAGGGATGGAACTCATGCCCCAGGGGTGGCGATAGCTTGATAATACTGAGACTTAACCCCTGCGCCACCAGGGAGGCCCTGAAATATGTATGTTTCCCTGAAAACTGATGTCAAATCAAGACTGGCGGCATTCAGGTTTTACTTGGTGCAAAAAATACCAGCTGAAAATACTAAAACTTCCTCCCCTTCTATATTGATTGCAGAAATTTCAAGTATAATTTAAAGATATTTGTGCAACACAGTGCAAGTTATCATCTGCAGTTTCTAATTCAATATAATTAATGGTTTGTGGGTGGTAATAAAGGTGCTTAAGTAGAGGAGCCGTTCCTCCAAGTCTCCCAGATTCGAAGAGCAGGGAAAACCCTTGGGCAAAAAAAAACCTTTTTACATCTCATAGTAAAACCTTGGATAGTCGGAGAGCTCGGACTGACCACCGCTGGGCGGGAAAAAGGTACCTACAGACTCAAAATCGCACAATCTGTTACTGTTTAGTTTATAAACTGCGATCGCGTCTGTCAGCTTTCGTGCCTTGTGGGACTTGAAGTCCAGAAGGAAGAAGGGCTTCCCGGCTGCGGGAGCCTGGAAGCCGGTCGCCCCGGTAGGACGGAGGAGCAGGGACTACAACTCCCGGCAAACACCGCAAGGTCGCGCCGTAATGGCGAGCAACCAACCGTGCCGCAGCAGGGTAGGCCCCGCCCCCTGGCTCGGAGGCCCGTCTCCGCCAATGGCCGCGCTCCCAGCGCAGAGCCTGCGGGTTAGGTTGTGAGGCTCCAGCCGGGGGCGGGGAGGAGCCGAGGGGATTCAGGGCAAGCTCGGCCGCCGGGTGGGTCGGGACGTGAGGCGCGCCCTTCATTGAAGCGGCGGTGGCCGGGCTGGGCGCCGTGAGGGAGAAACGACGGCGCGGCTGGAAAATGCCAGTCCATTCTCGAGGGGACAAGAAGGAGACGAACCATCACGATGAGATGGAGGTGGACTACGCCGAAAACGAGGGGAGCAGCTCCGAGGACGAGGACACGGAGAGCTCGTCGGTTTCCGAGGATGGAGATAGCTCAGGTGCGCGCCCCTGCTGGACTGGGACCTCGCGTCCCCGCGCCGGGCGCGCCACAGGCCGCTTTCTGCACGCCGGGCAGCTGCGTCCTGCTGGGAGAGCGGGGCGGGGAGAGAGGGAAGGGGCGGGGACTGGCTCCTCGCCGGGCTGCAGCACCCGGACGGGTCGCCGCCTGGCCCGCGGCGGGTCCCGGTGGACGAGGCGGCGGGGCGGGGCGCGGGCCTGGGCTCGCCCAGCTCCCGGACGCGGCGGGCTCCAGCTCGCTGCGGTTCCGCCTCAGGGACCTCTGGGCCGTGCAGGCAGCTGTGGGCCGAAGCTCGTCTAGCAGACTTTGGAAATGCCTCCCCTCCCCAGACCACCGACCTCTTTTCTTGTTAGTCACCTTTGCAGCCTCTGCTTCTTTGCATGGGTGGGTTGTCGGGGTCGAGGGTACTTTTGTCCCGGTTCTGGGCTGACTTAGATCTTATGAACCTCAGCTTTCAAGTCAACCTGTCAGCTTTTGACATCTGTGCTGTTTCGGGCGGCTCACTTGGGAGCTGTCCGGTTTATGGTAACTCCCTGAACTTTTCAAGACAGAGACGTTAGGGGTGATTTTGGATTTTCATATGCTTATAAAATGGGCTGGCTTTCGGGCAGCTTTGAAATTCTCCAAACCTTTTCTTCCCTTCAATTTTTTTAGCTTTGGACTTTTTTTTTTTTTTTAAAGGGGGATGAGGGGTGGGTGGGGTTTGGAAGTGCAGTAACACCAAAAGTCAGTTTTGCAAACTTTTAGGAATGGTTATTACAAAGAAAATGGAATTTGTGATTACCTGTATTGTTTTCCTCCTATCCATGTGATGAGGATGAGACTTCTTTGTGTTGACCAATCTAAAGCAAGGATTGATAAGTTCTGTGACAATCCATTATCACCTGATGCCCTCTCCTCAGGTTTTCTTTTCAAAGCAAATCTTCACGGAAGAATGTAATTTCTCAATAAATCAGCCATCTAAAAAAATGAGCTTTATGAGTGACTTCTTTGTGCAGCATTGGGCACTACTCTACGAGGTATAAATAAATAGTTATGATCTGGTCTCAATTAAAGAGCTGTCATAAGTCACCATGTGATTAAATTGCCAAATGAATGCTTTACTATAAATGCTGTAGAAATTTGAGGCAGAGGAAATCTTCAAAATAGGGTGGTTAGAAAGATTAGTTGAAGAAGGTGGAATTACCTTACTGATCTTGAATGGGCAGAATTTGGAATGGGGTGGTATTGATCAGGTGTTTCTATAGGGCGAGGTATGTAAGAAAAAGTGCAAAGGCCAGAAATTAAGACATACTTGAAAAAAATTAGAAGCCCACTTTGTTTGGGAGAAGAACATGAACAGGTAAAGGAAAAGGAAGGTATAGGTGTGAATGATTTTTTTTTAAAACAGCGCGATTGATGAGTGCAAGTTTAGAAAGGAAAGTAAGTCTAAAAACACAAATACAAGGAGAATGGTGGTATCATGCACAGAAATAGAAAAGTAAAAGATTTGAGATAAAGAAGGAAGATAATTTAAGACATACTGCTTTTTGAGGTTATCGTGTTAAGAGTGCCCCACTGATTGATGTGTGACATTGGAACTTTGCATGATTTAGAAGCCTTCTGCAGAGTAATGAAAATAGGGGAGATTTCAAAAATGAGGAATATAGAGAAAGAACATCTAGTCCTTCTGTGAATATATTTTCTATATCTGTAAAACATTTTATCTTCAAATGTTCATTGTATTTTTTTTTAAATTTTTTTAAAGATTTATTTATTTATTTGTTTATACAAGCACTGGGTACAGTCAGAAGTGCGTGAGGGTGAGAGAATTCGGCAGAGCCAGAGCGGGGAGCAGAGCAGGCAGAAGGACCAAAGTACACTGCTGAGGGGAGCAGCGGGCGGCAGGAGAGGTCTACGTGCCATGTGGGACGCTCCGCAGGTGGTCGGGGAGCAGCCGGGCATCGAACCGGCATTGCAGAGGCTGCGGGCAGCTTCGCAACCTAGCGCTCAACCGCTGTGCCACCGGGGAGGCTCTGGTCATTGTATTTTTGATGGGAGCTAGGATTTTTGCAAAATGAAATCTATTTGATAAAATTCTCCCCCTCTAATGTTGACTATACAGTGATTTTTAACTTTTTATTCCATGCTAGACAATGATGGACAAATTGTGAGGCATGTAATAATTTGAATAACAAATCAAACTTTTTAAGTGCAAAGAAATTATTTAGTAAATTTTGCCTCCTGTAAAATCATCTATTTTTTACCATATGCTTGCATGTTAAACTTCCAGTTTTATTCTTCTCTGATCTTGGTACTGACCAGGTCCTAAGGCTACAGAAAAACCTCTTATTTAGAATTATTGAATGAGTTATCTTGAAGGACCAAGGTTTAAAAAGTCAAGAAGTAAAAACTAGAAATAATTTCAGTCTGTTTTAGAAAAGTTAAAAAAGAATCATATGCTTTCTTGTTATATGAAATAACTGAAATGATTTAACTTTTTAAAATAATCTGACCTTTATTTGATAATCAAAACAGATCATTTTGTGTGTCAGTTATTTTGATATATTGAATATATGTGATATAAAAATAGAAGATATGAAATATAGGACAGATATGATAGTAAGAGGACAGAACTGATAGTAAGAGTTGCTTTCCTTAAAAAGTTTGCTTGATTTTCTTCTCATTTTCATCTTTCTCCTTAAGTTACAATATTCTGGGGAGAGGGAACAATGGGAATACAAAAGTAGGAGATCAAGATCCTGTGACCAACATAATGAGGTTTTTTTTTTAAGATTTATGCATAAAAGAACTGGGGTGAGATCAAAGGTGCTGGAGATGAGAAAGATTGACCAGAGACAGTGGGGAGCAGAACAGGTGGATCTACTGCAATACACTGCTGAGGGGAGCAGTGAGGGAGACAGGAGAGGTCTGCTATGCCCTGTGGGTTAGCTCCCTAGCCAGGGACCCAACTCTGGCTGCAGGGGTAATAGTGCTGAGACTTAACCCCTGTGCCACCAGGGAGGCCCTGAGTTTTATTTTTTATGTGACTGGTAAGTCAACCATGTGAGCAGTATAAAAGAATTTCAAAACTTTTAAAGGATAATTATTTTAATGCTTAAATTGTGGTAAGCTGGTGGAAAACAAAAGTGGATTAATTGCTTCATAGACATAGCTTATAGACAACTCTTGAAAGTGATTTAAAAAAAAATAAGAAACTGCTGTGACTTAAACTTTTACCTGCATTTTAGTTTGAAATCTACAGTGGACATTATTTTGGATAAATTTTATTTTTGCTTAAGGGTTAATTATATATATTATACATCTAACATAGACCTATATCTAACTTCACATTATAGGCTTTTCCCCCTTTATTTCTTAAACCATTTGAATTTACATATTTATATATTGGAAACATTAGACTAATTTTACCTTTTTTTATTTGTCTTTTTATTAAAAGAAATGGATGATGAAGACTGCGAGAGAAGAAGAATGGAATGTTTAGATGAAATGTCTAATCTTGAAAAACAGTTTACAGATCTCAAAGATCAGTAAGTAGTGACTTCAGAAGGTCATTGCCACTGGATCTCAACCATGTCTCATAAAGACTAGCACAGGAGGCATTCTACCCACTGTGAACTTCCTTTTTGCATTTTATGGGATTGACTGATCTGAAAGGCTTCAACTGTTGCCTGAATATCACATTAACTAGTGAGGGTTTTGAGGCAGGTTTTTGGGGGGATATGAGATACTATGGATATTGGTAATTAAGATGTTTTCCCTAGGTTATTGCACTTTTGGTTTTAATCGACTTCATTCATTCCTTTATTAAAAAGTGAACAAAGGTACCATTTTGAAAATTTGAAAATAAAAGAATATTTCCCAAAGGTGGCATAGTGATTTTTGTTTATATCTTGTATTAGATAGTGCATACATTGCATGCTATTACATGGATTATTTAGTTTGCTTCTTGCAGCGACTCTGTATGGTTTGGAAAATAGATGGACTTTTCTCCATTTTACCTGTGAGAAAAACTGATTCTCAGAGAAGTGATGTGCTCATAATTCTTCAGGAAGTGATAAATTAATCCAGACTTTCTGCCTCCTAGTGCTATCATGTTCCTTCTGCCAAAACATGATACCTTGGAAGAAATGAGGTGGAATAGAAAGTGCATAATCTCTGAGTCCCTATTTCTTGACATATTAAAAAGGCATAATAATCACTCCTGTATCTTATCTACTCTAAGAATTGAGATGAACAATATATAAAATTCTTAGCCATTTGCCTGGCATGTAAGTGGGTGCTTATTAGATACGGATTTTTCCCCCTTTCAAATGTCAGAACTCTTATGTGAAATTGAAAATACAAAAATGGGCTCCAGTGATTTAGAAAACTGAATAGATGCAGATGGAAATACACCTTAATTTATTCAGAAGCTGGCTCTTCCATTTGTTAATTCTTCATAATTTTGGTGTGTATTCTTTTTCTTCTAATTCTCTCCTAGACAATCCCAAAGAAGCAATGAAGACCTATTTAGCATCATGCTTTCTCATGGCTTGCTAGGACTATTACCTAGTTCCCCCTCCAGCTTCATTCATTTCTGCTACCATTATTTAGTAGTATCCTTTTTCAAGGAATTGAAACATATGTTTTAGAAGGAAGTTAATCTTTATACCAGGTTTATAATTATTTAATTTTTCCCTCCAGCTCCAAATTGCCTTGTTTGATATTTTTATGTTGTACTTTGTATCTCTGTAAGCTGTGTCAAATCCTTTCCAGAAGAAGTGGGAAATAGAAAAATGATGATGGTAATAATAATAAAATTACCCTGCTTCTCCTGTTCTAGCACTACAGGGCACATAGCACTCCTTTCATAAGGCAGAAATTCCACTATTTGCAGTTTGTATAATGGTGTAAGGTGAGTTCTTTGCCAACTTAAAAAGTTAGAGGAAGTTTCTGTTCATTTCAATATTTAGTAGCCAAGAAACATTAATTGAGCATCCACTCTGTGAATAGTGTTATAATTGTTGCTGAGGGTCTCATAGTTCTTGCCTTTGATGTATTTCATATTTAAATCCCAAGTTTTAGACCTTATACTGATTTTGAAATCTTTTAAAAGAGTAGTTAATTAAAATTGAATTATTAATGCACATTAATTCAAGATGCTCCACCTATTTGGGATACCTTATCAAAATTTTATGTAAAGTGATGTTTCTAGCTAAGTTTTTTAGCATTTTGCCAAAAATTGTATTAATAATTTCAAAAACTATAAGTATGTTATGCTTTTCTGACTTTACATATTTGTTTATCATTGCATATTGAGTTTTACAGAAATGTAACCTAGACATGGTATTATTTGGCAGTTAAGTCAGATAGTTTTTCCCTTTTTAAAAAAGAATATTTATTGCCTTAACATCAAAACTTGCTTTATTCCTTCAGAATAATCATACGAATCTCTATGAAATTAGTCATCAATTATAGACAATATTGATTGTCTTAATTGTATTGGCCTATAGTTTCAAGATGAAAGAATAGAATTTATATGAAAGTCAGGCACCGTAATGCTTTCAAAACCAACTTCTAGTAATACTAACATGTACAAGCATAATAAATGGTTTCTTTTAGAAGTTACTACATGACATCCTTGTGACATATTATGACATATTATTTACTAACTAGCAAAAAAGAATAAAAATGACATTAAATTGTTAATCTGCTTTGAAATTTTTAGAATTTCCTTTACATGCCACAAGACCAGTATTTCGAAGTACCTTTCATAAATGACAGTGTAAATATTTTACTGTTAAATAAGTATTCTATCCTGCCAAAAAGAAATATTGGGTTGTTTCACATATTCTGTCCATGGTAAGCTAAAGGTATTGATGTGAGAGCTGGCAAATCAGAGTGTATGTGGACTCTTATGTATGATAACAGAGATCTCCTGCCCATTTTTCATTTGCTCATCCATCAAACAGCTAATTTTGTTGTAACTTCATTTTCCCCAATGAACTGGGTGTGTTAATCACAGGTTCCATAGTCATTGGTTTTACCTTCATCACTCTTTCTCTGGTTTCTTTTTAAAATTAAGGACTGTGAATATTGTAATACTAACTCCATTTCAGGGAAGGTGGAGAGAAGCTAGGGAATTCAGCTTTTTGACAACTACTAATGTCTATTCAGAATGATTTCTTTTGTTTCTTTTAGACTCAGTGTTTAAGTAACTATTTTTAATTAGAATTGATTATTATTCTGAGTTAAATTAAAACAAAAATCAAAAGTACCAGAGCCAGTTATTTTAGTTGTACTTTTTTTTATGTTGTATAATAGCCATTTATAATTGATGCATCTAAAAAAGATAGAAAAATATTTATTTTGTGGTTATGTATATAAAATCAAATGATGTAATTGAATTCTTGTGATCAAGGCAGAAATATACTTGGTGGGTTATTAGAATATGAATAATAGAGCTAATGTATAGGAATGTAAATTTTTAGCCTTTGTTGGGCTTATTACATTAATATCTTAATTTTTGTTTTGTTAAGACTTTATAAAGAACGATTAAGTCAGGTGGATGCAAAACTGCAAGAAGTCATAGCTGGAAAAGCACCAGAATATTTGGAGCCACTGGCAACTTTACAAGAAAATATGCAAATTCGTACAAAGGTAGCAGGTAGGAAAGTAAAACATCTTATCCATTTAGTAGAAATGAACTCTTCAGTAGATTTAAAAAGTGTATGTTAAGTGTGTTTGTTAATGAAATGGCAAATGTATTAGCATAATCAGAGTATTTCACTATCAGTAAACCCTTAATTATTTGTTAAATGCCTCTTGCTGTTTCCTTACTGCTATGGGGGGTTTAAAAAAAAAAGTTGTCCACAATGTTGTTGAAAAGATAGTTCCACATGTGAAATAATTAGGAGCCATACGATAAGAGATACTGTTACTATCAGTTTAATTTCCTATTAGATAAATTAAGGTTCAATTTAGGTACTGTTAGTATTTATTAGAGTTATAGGATTTTTTAAAATATAAAGACATTTTTAAAATATTTGATCAGGATATTATAAAACAGGGAATTAGCCTTCAGCCAGGTAATGTAGTGATAATTTTTTGTTTTGATAAGTCTGATCATTCATTTTTGGCTATGATTAAATGAAGATGTCCTATATTTGTAGTGTTAAATTTCAGTCTTTTGCTTGTAACTGGGATTCAACCATAGAGTCTTATTTTAGCATACATCACAGGGATTTTTATATTTAAAGATTATCTTTTTTTCTCAAATTAAAACCCAGTTTTAATTAATGAAGGTGCTGATTGTTTTCCTTTGCGGGGGGGTTGTGGCACTATTCTGTCCTCATGTACTTGCTATATAATAGTTAAGCCATTGCTGATAACAGTTTCTTGTACTAAATTCACCTTAAATCAGTTTTTTTGAGTGCTTAATATTAAGTCTGCAGATAAAATACCTAACATACGCTATCTTTGCATAGTGACTTAGTGTACCCTTAAAAGTTAACATCACCCTAATTTTCTTTGATATTCTGAAAGGACTGCATGAGACTTACTGGATGTTTAGGAAATATTATTTACTCAATTATTTACTTTTTTATTCTGTGGCCTCCTTTATATTTTGAGTATATAGTCAGGTGTGTGAATGTGTTGCTAGTAGTAGTTTCAGATATTTGTCCTATGCATTTACTGTACAAAACAGAACATTTCTAGATTCAACTATGGCATGGAGTTTAGTATATTTTAGGTAACATTCTTTGCCATTTTTTTTTTTTTGATGGCATATTTGCGTGGCCATGTTGCCTATTGTATACTATTGCATTGGAACTGTTAAGTTAAACTCTTGAGTATTCAACCTCTAGTAAAAGCTCTAACAGAAACACTTGAACATCATAGATTTCATTATATCAGTTTATACATTTAATTCTCTTGGAAGTATTAAACCCTGAAAACAAATTACAGTTAAAACATAATGTTTTGATGGCTGTGGTGTCCAGTTACTTTGACTGTATGATTAATGAAATCAATTTGTTTCCAGTATGAGTCCTCAGAGATTTTTGCTTTCATAGGAAAGAGGTTTTTTTTTTTTTTCCCCATTTTGATCATTCTCTATCAAGCCTTCAGGAGTATTTAGAAAAATGGGATAAGAACTAAAATTTATAGTATGGTTTCTTCCTAGCTCTTAAATTCTTGGTTTTTTAGTCTTCTTTGATAAATATCTTAACTGAGCCTTTTCTTTTTAAAGATACAGTTGGAATCATTTGTCATTTTCTTCTTGATTCATCTTATAAAGCTAAGATAGAATTCCTGTAGGGAAGTGATAATGAAACTCATTGCTAACATAATCAGAGTAATTGTGTTTGGTTGCAGGAATCTATAGAGAGCTCTGCTTAGAATCTGTAAAGAACAAATATGAATGTGAAATACAAGCTTCTCGCCAGCATTGTGAGGTACTGTTGTTTTGCTTAACTTTTAAGCTAATTTAATCTCTTCAAGTCTTTTCTGATGCAGTAATTTAAAAAAAGTAATTAAGTGAAACAAAATTAAATAGTACTTTAGCTCATCACTTGTGTGATTTTTTTTTTTCTTTTTTTTTGAATACAGTTTCACTGGAAGCTGTATTGGAAATAGAACACAAAGAAAGGACCATAGAAAAGAACCAAGTGAGATAATTTTAGAAGTTTTGCAACTGTTCCCTTATAAGGATCTTGTAATGGTTATTGCATCTGACATCACTGAAAATAGTAGTATAGTTAGTATAACATGCAGGACTCAAAAATGTACATCCAGTAGTACAGATACAGTGTTGAACTACAGTATTAATTTCTAACTCACTACACCTATTTTCTATGTTTTAGAGCTGAATTCTCTATGGGGAAAATAAATGGATTTTCTATATATATTGCATTTATTTTGAATAGTGTTTAAAAAACATAGTGCTAATTTTGCAGATAATGTTTCATAAAACCTGAACCAGGTCACAAATAACAGTATTGGATATAAGAGGACAAGTTCTATAATAATTCTTATCTTACTTCAATATACCATGTCCTTATAAATTAATAAAATACTAAGAACAGATAAGTATAAAAATGATGGAGCAGTTGTTTCATTTTCTTGATTATAACTGAAATGAAACATCTTTCTGATGTTTACTGACAACTGGATCTTCTTTGCTAAGAAGTACCTGTTCATATCTTTTACTTTTATGTTGGGTGATTAGTCTTTTCCTCATTGACTGTAGAGGTTCTCTATATATTCTGGATATAAATGCTTCTCTGGTTACATGCTTTGCAGATGTTTTTTTTCCAGGCAGTGGGAGGATGTCTCTCCATTCTTCCTTTTTTTTTTTTTAAAGATTTATTTATTTATTTATGTGCACAAGAGCTGGTGTACAGGCCAGATGTGTGGGGGGCAGGTGAGAGGATTCACCGGAGACAGAGTGTGGAACAGAACAGGCAGATTGAAGTACACTGCTGAGGGGAGCAGCGGGCAAGTTAGGAGAGGTCTGCTTGGTCATGTGGGTTGCACCCTGGCAGGCCAGGGATCGAACTCTTGCTGCAGTGGTTACAGATAGCTTCATGGTTGCATCTGAACCCCTTGCACCAGCAGGGAGGCCCTTTCTTTCCATTCTTATTGATGACTTGATGGATAGACGTTTTACTTTTTAATTGTTGACTTTATCATTCTTTTTCTATCATATATGCTTTTTGTCTTTTCCATGGAGGTTAAAAAAGATGAATTTTCTTTTAAAAGTTGAAATTTTGCTTTTAACCTTTAGATTGCTAAACTACCTTTAATTAATTCTTGTGTATGTTATAAAATATGGTTCTAATTTTATATTTTTTACATGTATATAGGTAATCAACATTTTATTACATGATCCATTGTTTTCCCACCAATTAACAGTTTCAGTTTTGGTTAATTACACTTAATTTTGACATATTGGTCTTGCTGGTGCCGGACGAATTTCTTGGCACTCTTTTTGACAGTCTTAACAAGGAATCTTCATAGGGGTTTGAGGGCCATGATGCCAAATAGGAGATGTCTGCCATTTCCATAGCAGTGTTGAGTAGGAGACTAGATGAGAGGAATTTTGTTTTAATTCAGTCTGACAAACTGTCTTTGATAAATTTAGTGCAGTTACAGTCATAATGATTATTTTTATATTAATACCAACCTGTTCTGTGTTTTCTATTTGTTCTGCTTTGTCCTTTTAAATTCTTATTTTTTTAAAGATTTATTTATGCATACAAGAACTGGGGTATAGGCCAGAGGTGTGGGGAGTAAGAGGATTCACCAGAGACAGAGTGGGGAACAGAACAGGCAGACTGATTGAAATACATTGCTGAGGGGAAAAGCAGGTGAGACGGGAGAGGTCTGCTGCGCCATGTGGGTCTTCTCCCTGGCAGGGGATTGAACTCATGCTGTAGTGGCTGTGGATAGCTTCAAAGGCTGAGTCTTAGCCCCTTGCGCCACCAGGGAGGTCCCTATCCTTTTTTTTTTTAAGATTTATTTATTTATACAAGCACTGGATACAGTCAGAAGCGAGGGAGGGTGAGAGAATTCACCAGAGCCAGAGTGGGGAACAGAACAGGCAGACTGACGAAACACACTGCTGAGGGGAGCAGCGGGCACGGCAGGAGGGGGTCTGCGTGCCATGTGGGACCCTCGCCAGGGATTGAACCAGTGCTGCAGAGGCTGCGGGCAGCTTCTCAGCCCAGCGCTCAACCACTGCACCACAGGGGAGGCCCAAGGTCCCTATCCTTTTAAATTCTTACCTGATCTTTTTGTGATATGTTGAGTTTCAAAAACTGTATCTAAAGATATTTCTATTTCTGGTTATTTCAATTATTGCTTTAAGTAACTACATTAGTAGGATTTAAGTATTCATAACTCTGCCCTCTTCCTGAACTGTAAAGGACCTTAGAATCCTCTCATTCTGCTTATTCCCACCCATATTACAAGTTACAGTTGTTTACTATTTTAGTTCAATTTTCCTTTTTCACTTTTGAATGAGACATTATTTTGATCTCACAGAATAAGTTCTTTTGAGGTTTATCTGCATTGTATTAGTTTTTTTTTTCTCAGTGTTTTTGAGTTGCAGCCATCATCAGGTTCATCTTTTGCTTCTTGAAGAATATCCTAGGCACTCCTCACACAGTCTTTTAGTGGTAAACTCATTTTTTATTTGTCCAAAGATAGCTTTATTTCAGTGATTCTCAGGGGACAGTTTAGGGGGATAGATCATTTTTCCTTCCCCTTATTGACTGCTTTTAAGCTCTTTGTTGTTCTTCAGTTTCTCTACTGTATGTCTCTACAGGGGTTATTTTTCCTTCTTGTCTTGGATTTGTTGTGCTATCTGAACCTAAGAGTTTATTTTCTATTAATTTTGGAAATTTCTCAGCCATCATTGTTTCTAGTATTGCCTCTTCCATTTTCTCTATTTTCTTTTTCTGGAACTTTCTTGGTCATATGTAAATTATCACCTATCTTCCATATAGCTTTATAGTTCATATTCTAAGATTTAGTATTATCTGAAGTTCTTCAGAACATAATTCTGTTTTTCATTCCTTCCAAACTTCACAGTTTATTTATATCATGATTCTGGATTATAGCAGGTTTTATTGTAGGAATTCTGTGAGGATATAAGTTCTTCAGGGAGTATCTACTTTTATTTATCCTAGGTTGTTTCCTCTAGGCACTAGGTGTACCACCAGACCAAACTATTTTAATTCTTTGACTTGGGATTTATTGGAATATGCAGGTAATCTGTATTTGAATCTCACATATGTAGAGATCAGGTCTGAGTTAACATATTCAGGGAAATCTTTTCCTCCCACTTCTTGCCTAGACTAAGACAGGTTTCCCTCAGGTAGATCTTTTCTAGTCTACCTTTTCATTGAAGGTTTGAGCCTTCAGGGCTGTGCAGGGATTCCATTCTCATACCACCCTCCCCTCCTTTGCTTAGGCCCAAGGTGTGTTCTTTTCAAACTGCCATTAAAACTATGCCTCTAGTTTATTGACACCAACAAATACCCTCATGGAAACCACAGTTTCAACATCAGATTACCCTGCAGTTTCTAACTCCTTGTTTGTTTTTGGTGTTTGTTATGTTTTATCTAGAATATCTGTTCTGTGTGGTTTGGGAGTTTTTTGTTTGTTTAAGGATATCAAGTTCACTGTATTGTTACAAATAAGTCAAGAAGATATCTTCAAGTAATATTTTTTTAACCCAGACAAATATATTGATCTTCTTTCTTTTCCATCATGTTTCAGCATTCTTCCCTCCTATATGGAAATTCTAAATACTTACCTAAATTTCTTCTAATTTAGTTAATGCCTTTTAAAAAATAATTAATGTATAACTAATGCTCTAACTAATTTATTTAATTACACAATTAATTTGACGGTACTTACGTAGTTGGAGGGCAATTAGAGGAAATAAAGGGTGGAAAAAGAACTTACATTTTCAGTGGTGTGTATTTTATATTTGATCATTTAATTTCTATTTTTTTTTAAAATAATAAATTTTATTTTTATATTCCCCATACAATTGCAACCCCCCCCCATTCTGATCCCAATCCCTCCCTTCCCGCCCCCCCAAAATGATCATTTAATTTCTACAGCAACCTGATGGAATAGGAATTATCTTGATTTTTATGACTACATCACCTGAACCTCAGAGAAGTTAAGTAGTTTGGTTGGGATCATAGAATTAATGAGCAACAAGCAGAATTGAAATCTGTTGATTTTTCTAGTCATTCATGCAGTATACCATTAAATCTGAACTTCAGTATTCAGGTCTTTTTATCTATTTATTCATTAGTTCCACATTACACATATACAGAAATAATTTTGAGAGGCAAGGGGAGCAAGAAGAAGCAAGATGTACTACCAGTTGTCAAAATAAAAGTTTGTTTAGCAGCAGATAGAAAGGAAGAACCAGGACCAGAATCTAGATGAATATGCAGATAATGTGCCAAAACACAGAGCCAACTGAGGCAGCAGATGGTTTATATCAACTTAAAAAATCATATTTAGAGAGCACTACAAAGTGTCAGGTGCTGAGAAGTGGAAATACCTTACCTCATAAAGCTTCCCCTTAAGGCTGGAGATGACTAGTAAGACATGAGCGCAGGAGATAGCAAGGTCTCAGTGAGGTCTTCAGGGTTAAGGGTTTGGATTCTAGTTCTTTAGAACATTGGTGAGAGCTCTTGACTGATCTTTTGACTGTCCAATTAAAATGAACATTTATCAGATAATATTTTTTCTGTTATCATTTTTTTATTTTCTGATTATAACATTAGTAAGTATATATTGAGAAAACTTGAGAAATAACTCTAAAGGAGAAAATAAAATCAACCATAATCTGCCAACCAGAGGTAATTGCAGTTAAATGAACCTATGTTTGTATGATTATTTTTCACATAGGTGTTATGACTATATATACTGTTCTGTGACCAAATTTTTTTTGCAAGCAGCATTTCCTGATACTGATACAAATATTCTCTTTAAAAATTTGTTTTTAACAGGTAATATGTGTGGTATTTCTGAAGGCAGTTTTATAATGAGAAACAGCCATTCCCTCTCCCATCACAGTTAGCATTGTGCATTATAATTGTGAAAAAAAGAAAACTTTGCCAAGTGAAAAATAATATCAGATAATGCACATTTTATTTTTCATTGTGTTCTCTCTCTCTATGTCCTATTTTGGTAGTGCATTGGCAGTATTTAGATTTATCCATGTTTGTTTAATGCCATCTTATGATTATTAAAACTTTATCATACTACAAATATTTTAATGCTTTTTTACTTTTGTTTTTTAATGTGATTTTTAAAAAAGATTTATTTAGTCATGCATATAAGAACTGGGGTATAGACCAGAGGTGCAGGTGCTGGGGGGGTGGGGAGTATGAGACGTTCCACCAGAGACAGAGTGGGGAGCAGAACAAGCAGACTGACTGAAATATACTTCTGGGAGGAGCAGTAGGTGAGGCAGGAGAGCTCTGCTGGGCCATGTGGGTTGCTCCCTGGCCAGGGATCTAACTTGTGCTACAGCAGTGGCTGCTGTAGCTTCATGGTGCCGAGACTTAACCCCTTGTGCCACAAGGGAGGGCCCCTTTTAATGTGATTTTTATGTGATTAAATGTATTAGTCTTCATCTATGACTTTCTAATTTTTGTGCTTTGAAAGACTGTCTTCATTTCAATATCAAGTATTTTTTTAGTTACTTTTATTTTTATTTTTTTAATAAACTTTTTTTTTTTTTAAAGATTTATTTTATTTATACAATAGCTGGAGTACAGGCCAGAGGCGCGGGAGGGTGAGAGGATTCACCAGAGACAGAATGGGGAGCAGAACAGGCAGACTGACTAAAATACACTGCTGAGGGGAGCAGCGGGCGAGACAGGAGAGGTCTGCCATGCCATGTGGGTATCTCCCTGGCTGGCTGGGAATTGACTGGTGCTACAGAGGCTGCAGACAGCTTCGCAGTGCTGCGGTCGACCTGCTGTGCCATTGGGGAGGCCCTTTAGTTCCTTTTAGATTTTACTTTGTAAATTTAACTCCACTCCATTTATTTTTATATAATACATGAGGCAAAAGATCCTGAGGTTTTTTTTCCTTATTTTATTTTTCCTGTTGTCATTTATTGCTTAGATGTCCAGGTGTGTTGAAAAGTTTCCTTTATCATGTACTAAAATGTACATGATACAACTAGGGTCTGTTTCTGAGCTTTTAAATTCTATTCTGATTTTTATTCTAAAGTAATATACTTAATAACCAAAGTTGATGGTAGCTTTTTGTATGTTTTACTCTCTGGTAATGCTAGTCCTTCAGAATCTCCCAGGATTCCAGTCCTAAAGGAAGTTGACAACAGTGAGGTACTTAAGTCAAGAACTTGCTAAAAGAGTTGGTTCTAAACACAGGCCATTGTGAGTCCAGTACAAAAATGGAACCTTGGAATCACTTTCCTGGGCAACTTAAGCTGATGGGAAAAGCATGGGTGTCAGCCTGGAAAAGGACTTAATAAGCCGGTTGCTTAAGTCTAGATATGGAAATTTGAGGTATGTGAGGTATTGAAGCCCAATAAGTATTTACAGTGGTACTTTTAAAGAATGAAATTACATGCTGAACCATAGAAGCTTCTACAGTCACCAAAGCAAGAGGGATTGGATGCCTTTCTTCTATGGTGTCCTCTTTCTGCTCTATTACTACTTTCTTCCTCAGAGAAGCCTTTTGAGGGTCTTATGGGGTTGGAGAAAAGGGAGAAATGAACAAAGAGAAAAAATTCAAGGTATATATTTTTTTTAAAAAAGATTTATTTATGTATTCAAGAACTGGCCAGAGATGTTGGGTGGTGAGAGGATTCACCAGAGACAACGGGGAACAGAACAGGCAGATTGACTGAAATACACTGCTGAGGGGAGCAGTGGGCGAGTCAGGAGAGGTCTGCTGTGCCATGTGGGTATCTGCCTGGCTGGGGATTGAATTCATGCTGCAGTGGCTGCAGATAGCTCCATAGGTTGTGTCTTAAACCCCTGCGCCACCAGGGAGGCCCTATTTTGTATTCTTTAAAGTACACCTATAAGATCTTTATAGATACCTCAAAGTTTCAAACATTTCAGTCTCATTGTGGCTTTTTTTTAAACTATAAAAAACCATTAGTGGATATATTTTAGAAATTTTGCTAGGCCTAGAGCAAATTAACCAGTAGAAAGAAAAAAGAATACATCAGTTAAACTTTCATATTCTTAAAAGCAAAAGCCTTATCATTCCTGGTTGGAGAATTTGGATCTCTTTATAGTGTTGCCACACATCTGAACTGAGCTGGTGGCATGGTCTCCCTTTTTCTCTAAGACATAACATTTTGTGAAAAAATGCAGTAAGACTAGAATATTTCGTAAGACTTTACCAAGGGCAGGGTATGAGTAAAAGGAAGTAAGCTTAGAGGTAAGCATGCAGTGGGATTATTTTTCGTATGAGATCTAGTTGTAGTCTTCTTCAGCTTTGCTTTCTCTCTGGCTCCTGACTCACCTCAAATTGACAAAAGCCATCATTTCCCTAACACTCAGGAGAATCTTTAAACATGAGAACTTCATGATTGATGCTGGTAATGCTGCCTCAATGGATATGGTCTGTACCTTCCACAAGAAATCAGATCTGGGCCTCCTTGGTGGCTTAGGGGTTAAGTCTCAGTGCTGCCACTGAGATGGCCTGAGTTCGATCCCCAGCCAGAGAGCTAACCCACATGACACAGCAGACGGCTCCTGTTTTGCCCGCTGCTCCCCTTAGCAGTGTATTTCAATAGCTTTGCCTATTCTGTTCCTCACTCTGTCTCTGGTGAATCCTCTCAGCCCCCACACTTCTGGCCTGCACCCCAGTTCTTCTACACAAAATAAATAAAAAATCTTAAAGGAATAATTCTTTAAAACAAAAAAGCAAAAAAAGAAATCAGATTTAACTGTATCCCAGAAGCCTCTATAGGACAATCATACCTAGCTATATCTCAATGGCCTTAGAGCCTTATTGAAGCATGTGATAGGTAGGTTGGAAATATATCATAGCTTTTTATATAATGGATCTGCATATTACACCTATGTATATTTTACAGCTTTTAAAATAAGGGATACAGTGTTATATAAAATAATGGACTAAAACTAGTAGACCTGGGTCTTCTAGTCTGATTTGCCAGTTAATGATCTTATTACCCTTAGCAAATCGTTCATGTTTCTATAGTTTTGTTAAAAAATTTGGATATAGTGTATACTTTTATTGGATTTATAATTAGTATATAAATTAAAGCTTTTATAAAATTTGTATTTGAATCTTTCTCTTTGTGATATTAGTCTATTTTAATGTGATGCTGAGATATTAGTGAGGAATAAAGGCCCAGTTACTGTTCTGAAAGAAAATATGATCCATTTTATGATTCACTTTATGGGATAGACTTTCCATTTTGGTGGCATGTGGGACTTATATTTATATATGAGTTTTTAATACAGTAAATAGTTACCTGTTATCTAAATCACATATAAATTTAGATTTTCTTAAACAGTTTAACTGCATGTAATTAAATGTAGATTTATATTTTTTATTTTCATGTCTTTCATATATTTGACATTTCTTCTTAAAGTTTTTTAAACTGAAGTATAAAAGCAAAGAAAAGTATCATATGTTAAAAGTACTTTAAGTGAGTTATTTAGTACTCTTAGTTAAGATAGGTCAGTTTTTTCTTTCTACTTATGTGCAGTCTGTTTTTATTTTTCTTTTCCAGAGTGAAAAGCTTTTGTTATATGATACAGTCCAGAGTGAACTAGAGGAGAAGATAAGAAGGCTTGAAGAGGACAGGCACAGCATTGATATTACCTCAGGTAATGGGAATGATGTGATTGTGATGTTCCAATGATACTGAACCTTTGGTTTACTGGAATGTCTTAGTCTGCTAATATAAGTGTTATGTAAATGAAGTTATCTTAATGAGAGGAAAGGTGAGACATCTAATGAATTTCTTGTGATAATGATTGTTGCTTTGATTTGAACTTACACTTCAGGAAGGTGTAGAAAATGGAGTGCATGAAAAGGGACAAAATAGAATTGTAACAGGAACTATAAGAATAGTATTCTATAAGAATAGGAAGAATATTATTGTTAAGAATTATAATGGAAGACAGCTACAGCATTTTTCCCTTTCAGTGTTAAAAGACTGTCTTATGAAGGAAGGAATAAAATCTCTACTCTTTGGTACCATACAAACTAGGACAAATGGATAGAAGTTATAGGGAGGCAGAAAGTAAGTCCAGTATGAAATTGGCTACTTCGTGGGTATTGTGGAAAGGCTCTCTACTTGGGTGGAAAATTTACTGGGTTATGCTATAATTCTTGCATATGTGTTACATTACTTACTATAAATTTTATTGTCCTAGTATAGAGTAGACATAGTAGAGTCCAACAAGCTAAGCTACATTACCAAATAGTTGGGTGAACATGGGTGGCAGTTAAGTTAGGTTTTCTGAATTAGTCTTTTTGTCTGTAAAATGACAATAATAGGAATACCTACCTCAGGTAGCTTTGACAAGTAAGTGAGACAATGCATGTTTATATATTTCACAGTGTTTAACAAATATCTATCACCTAGTCATTAAATGTCAAGTTGATTTTTACTTTAATAAAGACAGAGGAGCATTATATATAGCTGTTTATGAAATAATATAGTCATACGTATATATATATATATATATATATATATCCATAGTTGTCAATGAAGTCTTGCTATCATGAAATTAGTCTTTTTTTTTTCCCTTTGATCTGTAGCCATCAGCTAATGCTTAATTTTTATTTATTTGCCAGAGCTGTGGAATGATGAACTTCAATCAAGAAAAAAGAGAAAGGATCCTTTTAGTCCTGACAAAAAGAAGCCAGTTGTTGTTTCAGATATCCTTTTCCAAATTTCCCGTTTTTTCTTAATGTCTTGATGTATATTTTGCATTGTGTGTACCTTTGTAACTTTTATTGGTACACATTGACATTATTTGCATGATTCTGTAATAAGCACAGAGTGATTTATGAAACTGATTGAAGACAGAGGGAGATAGTTTCAATTAAGAGGGGTAGGGAACGGAGATTTAGTCATGATCTCACCTTTGAAAATTAATATGACTTTACAGTACACAAGGGCTTTCATGTGAAACAGCTGTTTGGTATATGGTATGATTGTTTAATTCTCATGTGTATTTTAAACATATTTTATGGTTCTAATATTGGAATGTCTTTAAATTAATGTTGCATTTAATCTTGGCATTCCCTATGGTCCCAAGCCAAACCAAACAAACAAACAAAAAAAGTGAATAAGTTGAAGGTGTATCTTATAGTCAGTAAGTAGAGTTAAAAGAATGAGGTTATAGCGTCTGAAGTACTGGAATATATTCTGGTACTAGGTTTCTTGAAGAATAACTTTAAGGCAGAATTCAGCATGCCTGAAGATATGTCCAGAAATTATTTTTCTATTCTCTTAAAAAATAGAAATTTGGAAGTTTAATTCAAAATGTAAAAATCTTACAGCTAAATTAACCTTGACTTTTCAACGTCCATATATAGTTTATATGCTACAAGATCTTGATATTCTTGAAGACTGGACAACAATTAGGAAGGTACAAGGATCAATGGAATACAAATACATTTTTATAGCCTACTTTTTAAGATTATGGTTTTTTACTAATATATCAAAATTTGATTATTATAAATTTGCTTTACTTTACAACATTGTCTCTAAGGGATTTAATACTACTACGGATAATAGTGGATACAAGAGTATTTTAAGAGACATGTCAGCAGTTTGATTGTATTTTTTTGGTAATAATATAATAATTTATGCAAAAGTACAGCAAAGTGTTTATTTAGGCTGTCCAAAAATAAAAATATAACCATTTTATGCCTATTCCTTAGCCCAGTTCTGGCTCACAGAGAAAGATAAATATTTGTTGAATGAACAAAAGTGAATATTTGAACCCTTAATATATGTCTTGCATTCTGTCATTAGACATCCAAAACTTAAAGGAGTTTCTGTGCTTGTTTGAAAGTGCAGACTCATTTTACTTAATTTTTCCATTTTCAGGAACTTCTTAGTCGAGTTCTTTAGATTATTTCAGGTATTGACAACATCTCTAGGAAAAATTGTTATTCTTTATATATATATATTTCTTATGATGTTGGACATTGATAATTAGAGTAACTGAAGATTATATTTCACTGTGTTTGCTATTGAGCTTATCGATACTGTTGTATATACTAAACAGATAACAAAATATACTTTCAGTATATGAACTCAGACAACATTTTTCTTACTCTTTTTTATTTTTTTAAAGGCAATGGCTACATTGGGTCCACACAGAGTGAAAACAGAACGTAAGTCTCATTTTAGAAACTTTCTCTCTGGAGATTCCGGATTGTTAATTCTTACATATTAAAGAGCTCCCTTGTCAATGGTTTCAGTTCATCAGTGAACTGAATCAGGAATAATGAGAATTTTTTTTTTTTAAGATTTTTTATTTATTTATGTATACAAGAAACGGGGTACAGGTTGATACACGGCAGGGTGAGAGGATTCACCAGAGACAGAGCGGGGAGCAGAATAGACAGACTGAAATATACTGCTCAGGGGAGCAGTGGGAGAGACAAGAGAGGTCTGCCATGCCATGTGGATATCTCCCCGGCCAGCCAGGATTGAGCCCGCTCTGCAGAGACTGCTGACAGCTTCACAGCGCTACACTTAACCACCTGTACCACCAGGGAGGCCCCGGGAATTATGAGAAATTCTTTGGAAGTCTTTGCCTCATGGAAAAATTGCCCGATTCTGAATGCATTGTATTCTTTCTTTCACTGTTCATCTATATTACTATTGCTAGTAATCAGTAATTTTTTGTAATTTTTTGAATTTAATTTTTTTTTAATATAAGAACTGGGGTACAGGCCAGAGGCATGGGAGGGTAAGAGGATTCACCAGAGACAGAGTGGCAAGCAGAACAGACATTCGGATTGAAATACACTGCTGAGGGGAGCAGCAAGTGCAACAGGAGAGGTCTTCTGCTCCATGTGGGTATCTCCCTGGCCAGTAGGGAATCAAACTGGTGCTGCAGAGGCTGCGGACAGCTTCACAGCACTACGCTCAACCCGCTGCACCACCGGGAAGGCCCAGCTAGTAATCAGTAATTTTGAAAGTATTTCTTAAATGTTTTTCATGATCTCAGTAATTTTATAGGGTAGGACATTTGAGTCTGTGGATTGCCTTCAGGGAGACTGTGAGTTCTGAAATTATGAACAAAATTCCTTAGATGCTTGCATTTTCTAGGAGAGAGATTAGAGTGGTGGCAGTGGAGTCCATACCAAAAAAAAGTTTACCCATCACTAAGATTTACATACTTCTGATAAGGCTTAATAAAATTCACATTAAATTATACTTTCTTGATTTTTTTTTTTTGGAAGGCCTAAAGTCACTGACAAAATAGTTAATATACCTTATTTTCTAATTTTTTGCTTTTGCCTTCTTTCACTTTCTGTCTCCTAATTCTTTTATGAACAATGAAGCTAGATTTAAGTAAAAAAAAAAATAAAAACCCTTGTTTTAAATATTAGGAAGAGGACTTCCTAGTCACATTCAAGCAGATAAAGTAATCTATAAAAGATTAATTTTCATTTTATATTTAACTCAAGGATTTTTTTAAGCTTAATATCAGGAAATTGCAGCAATATTATAATAAATTAATTTCCTGGGGAGTTAACGGGAAGGAGACGAAGTACTTAAATCTCTAGGTTCTTAACATTTTTGAATCATTTTGATTCGAGAATCCCACTGCTCAGTTGAATGGGTCTCTTCTCTTACTCGTCTTTAGTTTTGTATCCTGTTTGTTTTCTTCATGGTACTTACCACAATTTATAATTTTTAATTTATTGTTTTTTATGTTTATCTGTCTTCTGGCTATATTGTAAGATTTACAAAGGTCAGAACCATCTCTTTAGTCACAATTTTTCTTCTTTAGCACCCAGCACAATTCTTGTGGTTGGAAGTGTTCAGAAAATATTTGTTGCACAAATGAATAAATGCTTTTTGAACATTTTCTACATACCAGGCACTTTATGAGGCTCTGGGAATACAAGGGTGCAAGAAATGGACCTCCTAGAACCTCCTTGGGGAGGCAAAAAAATATATATGTAAATAAATAACAAGATGATGACAGATTGTAATAATTGTTATGATGGAAAAATGAAATTGTAATGAAGATGAACTAAGGAGTGAACAGGATGGTAGGGGAAGACCTTTCTGTGGTAGTGATAATTGAATGATGAAGCAGATACCTGTATCATAATATGTTTTATACAGTGTTCTTCATAAAGAAATTTTTTACCTCTACATGAGTTTATCAGATTAATGTCAAACTATTTTTAGGATTTAAAAATGGCAGTTCTACATAGGAAATTTCTGTTCTAGAATCTTAGACCTGGAAAACTCTTGGAATATATATTAAACTCTGCTTCTTTGGAAGTGTCAGATGACTGTCAAGGAGAAAATATCAAAAAATATAATTTTCAGTCGAAATATGGCAATTGATATTTTAAAGTCTGCTTAAAATTGGCACTAGTAACTAATAATTTACCTGCTCCCCACTTCTGGCAACTGTCTAGTTAATTGATATTTATTGTACATTATTCAGCTTTGTTTAGTAACTTTGAATTATATAAATATGTAAGAAATTAAGCCTTATTTCTATTAGGTTTTGGTTTGTTATCTAAGAAATAGCTATGCTGTTTTTTTTTCAATATGCTTGGTATTCTTAATGTTCTGTACTTTTGTTCTTCTGACAATGTCTTATTAATATAACAGTTTCTGAACTGATCCCTTTAGCACCTGTGAAACTGGAAAAACATTTGCACAGTGCTAGATCTGAAGAGGGAAGATTATATTATGATGGTGAATGGTATATACGTGGACAAACAATATGTATTGATAAAAAAGATGAATGTCCTACAAGGTAAAAAGCCTTAATCACTTCAGTGTTGCGCAGTGGCAGAATTTACATCATTGTGAATAAATATTTGCTGCCCAGAAGTGCATTCATAATGTATCAGTAGTTGCTTGTGGATCCTTTTTTCTCTAGACATATGATTTGATTAGCATGTGTGAATACCAGTGTTAATATACTGGAGTTACATATTAAGTTCATGAACATAAGTATTAACACAAGTAGAAATGTTGATATTATTTGACCAGTAAATGATCCCATTTGTTAAATTTTAATTTTATAGTAGATGAATGGTTATGATCTTAAATTATGATCTTTAAGTCAGATTACTATAACTTTTTGGTGGATCTATTAATCCTTAGCTGTTGGGAGTTTGTTATAGTAGTTTAGGTAAAAAGAATTTGTATCAATTAAGAGTAGAAAGTAGGGGAAAATTAATGAAAATTCTAGAGTAATTAAAGTGTAACTTGAAAACTGAAAATTGTCTTTAAAAAGATTCAGTTTATTTAGGTTTTAAGTTTATGTAATTATATATTTTTCTAAGTCTTATGTAGTTGTGAGTTTTTATTACTGCTCTCATTCCTTCAGTAGGTTTGGATTTAATTCTCAGAATAGTAACTATCTACCATAAGAAAATATCTTTTTCTAGCTATCAGTGGTAAATGAAGTGTTTGTGTTCAGTATAGAACACTCCTTTTCCAAATATGATTAATTGGATTATAATTTAAAACTGTTGTTTTAGGATACCAGGAGCATTGTGAATAACTCTTGTCATAGAAATTCATTGAACTAATTGCTATTTTATATATCACATCCGTGGATTTTTTTGCTTTTTACTGTTGTTTGAATGAATGTGAACTACAGGGATGTAATTTAAGAGGTTAAATAGTATATGAAAGTATTAAACACACATATATTTGAAGGATTTTTATATGAAGATTTAGTGTCACAAAAAATCTGTAGCAGTATCATAGATGATTTGCCACTGGGATTTAGGGACTGGTGTTTGACAGATTTTGTATAGTCAAGGCTGATTATTGGAGTAATAACTTAAGTAGTGGTTTTAACTCCATTCTTTTTGGGGGTTGGCAATAGACTAGGAATGATATGCATTTAATAGTTATGTTAACAGTAAATTTTGCCAACTCTATTAAGAAAAGAAAGGAGATTATTAAGTACTGCTGAATGTGATATTTTTGACAGCATGTCCTGCTGGTAGTGCAGCATTCTGGTAAATGACAATTACGTACCTGAATCTACTCTGATAGCCCAGCTATTCTGGTTTTATGAAAGCTAATTCTCTAAAATGAGTGGAGGAGGCATATTGTAATTCATTCATTCATTCCTTCCTTTTTTTTTTTTTCTCTTTTAGTGCTGTAATTACAACAATTAACCATGATGAAGTTTGGTTTAAGAGGCCTGATGGAAGCAAATCTAAGCTTTACATTTCGCAGCTACAGAAAGGAAAATATTCAATTAAACATTCGTAATCATGATTTAAGTGTTATCTAAATCTACCTTATTAGTGTTACCAAGTGTGATGTGCCATGGGAGTAAAAAATGTATTCAATAACTTAATATTCTCATCGAATCATGAGAGACTGTGTATTTGCAGGTAGTACTCTAAGTAGACCTCATACTGATAGGATATTGAGATAGTAATACAAGTTTAATCATGATCATCCATTTATTTGCCTATCAGGTCCAATGACCCATAGGTATATATGGTAGGGGTTTCTTACAAAACTTCTTTGGTTTTTAAAAACATTATGTAAATGTTTTATCTTTAGTGGATTATATTGCTAAATGGCTACATATACCTGCAGTTTTTAAAATTTTCCATATCTTTGTCACTGATCGTGTGTTTGTAAATAAGCCTGATAAAATGTTTCCTAGAAATGGTTTGTAGTAGTACATTAGTGTTAAATCAGAATTGAAATTTAAACATATATATGTGAGTATGTATATATGGCTTCATCAGCTTATTTAGAACTGATGGCCTTACTTTACAATCTTGTTTTACCCAAAATTAAGCTATTGGGTTTGAAAGCTAAAAGGAGCACTTTTATAGACTAGCAGCTTTCCTTCTCCTCTTCCTTGATTGTATGATGGTGACCTATTTTTACAAATTATACTTAATGTTAATTAGTAAAATTAGTGTCAAGTAATCACATGCTTCTACCTGTATTTCTTGTGAGCCTTTAGAGGGCAGGTATTTATGCCTGGTATTTATGATGCAGTATCTAAGTGGTAAGCAGTAACTGACAGTATTGTGGTGCTTGCTGTACATGTCTGGTCTTTTGAAACAGATTTTTAGTAAGCTTTTTCCAGAGGTAAAACTAGGTTCTTACCCTAATTTTATTCCCAGGGCAAAATAGGAATAATTTTCTTGAATTTATCCCCATGTTAATATTTTTATCTTTGGTGTTTCTACACTTTAAGGCCACTTGGTGCAATTTAGAAAGTATTGGCCTCTCTTCCCTTCACCACATTCAAAATTAACTTCTAAAACCTCAGGAACAGTACAAAGAATCGTAACCCTTAATATGGCAGCATAATTGGCTGTAGTCTGTATTAGGGTACAACCAAATCAAGTATTCCTGGTGGTCTTGTGCACTTTAATTTCTGTTATAATGAGAATTAAGCAGATGAGGAAGAGACCCACTTATTAACACATAGGGCAGGACTACCTGCATTAATCCTTTATTTTCTTACTATTTTACCTCTGCAGACATCTTCCTGTGCGGATCACTACTTCACGTTGCCAAATGTTAAAATATTTGACTTCTGAAATTTGTTATCAGCAGTTATGTACTTTGTTCTGATTCTAATTAACTTTAGCAATTTACACAATGTCATAATCTGATAGTATTTGACAGTACTTATGTATACAATGTTTCATAAGCATTTTAATAAGATTTGTATTTTTAAATTTAGTATATAAATAAAACGATGTGTTTGAGTGTCATTGTGGTATCTTGACTTACTTGTGCATAAGTTCTTTTACTATTTAAACCTGTATACTACCAAGAAGGAGTTGAGTTAATTATATTAATAGATATGGAGTGTTGGAATGTTGAACAAATGGTTCTGCTTTTCTGAACCACAATTCAAATTCAATTATTAGGGTATATTTAGATATTTAAGGCAGCTAAGTTATACTTAAAAATATACAAATATGTTATACTTTAAGAATGTACTGTATAAGTATTAAAGTTTGAAATAGGAGGTCTTTATTTTAAAAACTACGATTTAAAACTCAAAATGGGGCCTCCCCGGTGGCGCAGCGGTTGAGCGCTGGGTTGCGAGGCTGCCCGCTGCCTCGGCGGCGCCGGTTCGATTCCCGGCTGCTCCCCGGCCACCGGAGGAGGGTCCCACATGGCGTGCAGACCTCTCCTGCCGCCCGCTGCTCCCCTCAGCAGTGTACTTCAGTCCTTCTGCCTGCTCTGCTCCCCACTCTGGCTCTGGTGAATTCTCTCACCCTCCCGCGCTTCTGACTGTACCCAGTGCATGTACAAACAAAACAAACGAACAAACAAATAAATAAATAAAAACATGCCTCTATAAAAAAAAAAAAAAAAAAAAAAAAAATAAAACTCAAAATGGATAAAAGACTTGTATGCAAGACCTCAAACTATAAAATACATAGAAGAAAGCAGAACAAACATTCCAAGACATAAACCTCAGATATCTACATACTTGTCCCAGCAGCACGGAGAACAAAATAGAATATAAACAATTGGAACTACAATTGAGACTACAACTAAAATGAAGGGACACCCTACTGAATGAGGAAAAATATTTGCACATCGTACATCTGACGAGGGACTGATACCAAAGATCTACAAGGAATTCATATAACTCAACCAAAAGCAAACAACCCTCTCCTGGGTGTCCATAGAATACAGAAACACTAATTCAAAAGGAAACTTGTACTCCCATGTTTATAGCAGCACTATTTATAATAGCCAAGTATGGAAACAACCTAAATGCCCCAAAACAGGAGTGGATCAAAAAGATGTGGAATGTTACTAAGCAATCAAAATAGATAAACTCATGCCAATTGCAGCAACATGGGTGAGCTGGAAGGGATTATATTATATGAAATAAACCAGAAGGAAAAAAACCAAATGATATTGCTTATATGTGAAATACAGTAAGACTAAACAAATAGTCAAAGATAAACTTTATAACTAGAGGCTTTCTGCAGGGAAGGGTGAGGGAGGGCCGTAAAAACAGGAAGGGGTGGGAGAGCATAATGGATTATGGTGGAAGAGTATGGGTGCTTTGGTGGAGGGAGGGCTACAGTGACTACCCCTGAGGCGGGTGTCCTGTAATGTCAAAGCATTAGCAAGGATGTAAAATAATGGGTACTTAATAAAAATAAAGAAAAAAAACTGGAAAAAACCTGATTTAATACATTTCCTTTCAAAACTATTTCATAATATTGATATTCAGATAACCATATACTTGCTCTGATTAAAGTCTTATAGATATGTTTTGTTATCAGCAGTTTGCCATTAGACTTCTATTGAAAAGGTTTAGTTTAGGAGAATTTTTAGAACCTGTGAAATGTGACGTAGTGGCTACTGCCACTCTTGCTTATGACTAGCGTCTGTTTTAGAATCAATTTATGGGCCTTTTCTGTAACAACTTCCACTATTTCAAGTTCTGCCCACCTTCCTGTCATTTCCCATTAAAAAAAAAAAATCCATCACAAACCCAGTTCATGATTAGTAATTATTTTATTTATTTATTTATTACTTATTTGTACAAGAACTGGGGTACAGGCCAGATGCACGGGAGGGTGAGAGGATTCACCAGAGACAGAGTGGGGAACAGAACAGGCAGACTGATGAAGTGCACTGCTGAGGGGAGCAGCGGGCAAATCAGGAGAGGTCTGCCACGCCATGTGGGTATCTCGGCCAGCTGGCCGGGATCAAACCTGTGCTGCAGAGGCTGAGGACAGCTTCACAGTGCGGTGCTTAACTGCCTGCGCCACCAGGGAGGCCCCATCATTAGTAATTATTAATAAACCTTAACACACTCCACATTCTATCCCTTTTCTCATTGTTCATATTGGTAGATTAGTACTGAGTACCTCTCACTGCAGGCTTCACGTAAAAGTTGTTCTGATATACATACAAACACCACTGACAAACCCTTGGGCACCTCACTGATAGTTATTTAAAAAGAAGAACAGGGATAATGGTGGTTATTTCTGAGATTTTGTTTATGGGCCCACTAAGTTCAGTATACTAAACATGAGCTAAAATGAATTATAAGATTAGGAAAATGAATGTAGGATGAATGAATATATCATTTCAGTTTTGTGTAGCCTCTTGCTAAAGATAAGGAAACCTAAAATATTAAAGAAGGAACATGAAAATTTAAAGTGGAGTTGCAAAAAGTGCATGTTTCTTACAGATTTCCCCCTTCACCTCTACATCCAAAAGTAGAGCATTTCTAACAAACCTTTTGAAAGTCGAAATAGCATAAAGCCAAGAAGCAATTGCCACTCACATACAGAATTTTTTTTGAGAGTGCCAAGAACCCCCACTTAACATACCAACTCATACAAAATCACATAAAACCTAAAATAACACTAACCTACAGCAAAAGCACGGGCGATATATCAGGTGCGCAGCCGGGCTGCAGCAGCCGGGCGGAGGCCTGGAGGGCGGCGTCTGCCCAGCTCGCGGCGCCCACGGCGTCCCTGACGGCTGCTGCGAAGCTGACGCTAACGCTGACGCCAGTTGCACTTTTTGCTTTTGTCGTAAAAACAGGAAACGCTTTAGCTTTCTCTTGATTAGTAAACAGGCACTGCTGCAGGTCGTTCTTAAAAGCCCAGGTGTTGCCTACCTTGGACTTTTGAAAAGTGGGGGAGACCTGGGCTGTCTTCTCGGGTGAACTGCGGGAACTGCACTGTCATGTCAGGTGGGTCACTTGGCCCCGATGGCTCGGGGTCTCGTCTTTACATCCTGGGCTCAGAAACTCGAAATGTCGATACCTTGTTATGGGCTCAGCTATGTCCCCGGCAAGTGCTTATTACCTCTCCTACCTGAGAATGTGATTGGATTTGGAGCTAAGGCCTTTAAAGAGGTGATTTGGTTAAAACGAGGCTAAATTGGACCTTAATCCATTCTGACTGATGAGCACTTAGAGGAATTTGGACACTTCCCATGTAGGTACTCCGCAGAAACCATGTGAGGACGTGGCAAGAAGACAAGTATCTGCAAGCCAAGGTGTAGGGTAAATGGAAGTTTTCAGTTTTTTTCTACCCTCCCGCCATTAGCATCTATGGTTAACACCTGTCGTCTTACACGCGTACCTGATTTCGGTGCCTAGAGTACGGTGTGGGCGTGTGTGAATGGGCACACCTGAGCCAGAGACTGAGCGTATAAACGCGGCCGCAGAGGCTCCTTCAGCAGAGAGCAGTAGAGGCCAGAGGAGAGACCACGAGAGAATGCTGGAGAGCCCAGAAAGTGAAGATTCGAGGGGGGCCAAGAGGCCTGACACCCTACGGGCCCTCCGCTCCACCCCCCCACTCCCTGCACCTAGTTACCTTACTACAAATTGTGTCCAAAGATCATTTAAAGCCTGAAAAAGCCACTGAGGGCTCCAGGACCCTTTCCTGCTGATCCATGGAGAACCTGCTCTGTGATTTGCTGGTGCT